AGAAGTTGAATAAGAAAATGTCTTTAAACAATAATCACTCAAAAGATATTTCACATAACAGTCATTGTTCAGTTTAATTTGGAAATTTTTAGAAAAACAGGGGTAAAAGAAAGGTGTTTTGCTGTTTTATTCCTACATCTAGATAATGCCTGTTTTTTTTGTTTTTTTTGTTTTTTTTTATTTTCTTCCCCTAGTGTTGGGGATTGAACCTAGGGCCTCTTGCACGCTAGGCAAACACTCTGCCATTGAGACATACCCCATCATCCCCACATTTATCCTAATGAAATAATATTTTTGTAGGAGTGTCAGATCCAGAATTCTAGTTATTAGATTGGCATAATGGCCCAGAAAGACTTCACATTTCTGGAAAAATTTATAGAATGCTCAGTTGTTTGCTTACCACTTTCAGGAGAGCTATAAAGTTGCTAGGATCATATTTCAAACTGGAACCACTAGTTAGTCCAAGGAGAATATACTTCCCTAGTTCATACTTTCTGAAATATGAGCCATCACAAATAAGAATTTTCAGGCCAGCCAGATAGTTCAGCAGATTAAAGCGCCTGCTTGGCAGACATGGGCCGGGGGCTAGATTCCCAGCCTACGATGCGGGCTCCACTCCAGGGTGTGCTGAGACAGCGATTGAGATTGAGCATGGTGGTGCATGCCTGTAATCTCAGCACTTGGGAGGCTGAAAAACAGGAGGATCACTACAAGTCCAGTCTGCGTAGTGAGACCCTGTGGGCCCTGTACTAAATATGTAAAGTATATAAATAAATAAGGATTTTCTCCTCTTCGTAGAAAGTGATATTTTTCTGTTAAAAACCTTGAAATTAAGGAATTAGCTCATGACATGACTTGAAATTGGCCGGATGGGATGGGATTGAAGTGGGTGGCACACAGATTCACCTGCCCCAGTCCTCATGTGGCCTATAGAGAACCTCAGGAATATGCTTCTAGAAATTACTCCTTTTTTTGACAGTCTTGGTATATTGAGGAAGAAAGCTTACTGATGTCAGAGACGCTTAAGAAAGCACTACCCACTGGAAATATATTAAGGAATAACTGATGGATCCCCTTTTCAAGACTAATCACTGGATCCAATCAGCCATGAGAAAAACATCCTAGCTGAGTCCTTTGCATAACCAACTATGGTATTAGATGGCTACAAGACAATCCCTTGGGTCGGTTTTCATACAAACCTCATGTTTATGAAATCAATCCTAAAGATTTAATTCAATGATCAGCTAATCTTT